AAGAACAATTTTAGAGGCATGGTTTTAGTATAGTACTAAAATATAAAGTATTAGTTAAAAAAATTTAAACTAACATATTTTTTGTTTATTAAAGCGGACTGTGTTGCGATATATCTTAGTGGACTTTTTCAGACACACATAGATTTGCAAGAGAGACGGAGGTTTTGTTTGTTTGTTGATAGAAACTTGGTTCATACAATGGAAAGTGCCAACTAAACAAACTGAACTGGTTTTACACAATGGTGTAGCTTGTCCTTTATTGATTTGTATCACAATGGGATGGTGATCGTAAACAGTCACGCCTAGCCTGGTCAAGACTCAAATCAAATCTTGACTACTGATGGCAATTTATGGTACAACGCTGCCACCTAGAGGTGGGTACGTGAAATGCATTGTATTGCATTTTCCTAAAGGTGAAAGGGGCGTCGCTTCCAAAGTTTTAGGCCAGTTTTCTCTCAATAAAAAGCCAGTAGCTGAAAGAGAACACAGCACTTCACCAGACCAGGGCTTCACAGGAGGGGGACAGTACAAGGGCGCTTCACAAGACGAGAGGACTTGCTTCAAGACCAGGACATACAAAGGATACTGCAACGAGAAGCCATTCTTCCTAGGCCAAGTCCTGCTCATCACGGAATTTGTGGAGCCTGCAGCCTAAGCTAAGTACATTTTCAGTGTTTCCCCTCCTAGAAATCATACATGTACTAGAAAATAGTGTAGTGGGTGCATGTGAATGTTTGTAGCAGTCAATCTTGATTATGTATTTGTTTGCTTTTCCTGTAACTAAGTTTGTACACGCAGCATTTTCGCCAAGTAAAGTACTTTTAATGCTACTGGGTCAGTTTCCTTGAAGTTTACTGCAAGAACAGACAACAAATAGAAATTAAAGTTTTGCCAAGCTTTACAGCTGGGCTCATCCTTGGGATAAGCTTTATGTCTCTGGGATTTGTAGTCCAGAGCATTACAGGACCTTTACCCATATCTTTAAAATAACAACAAACACACCTTTAGAAATGTTTAGTAATGACAATCTACAAACACACATACTTCTAGATAATTGTCGGCTTTGTATTCTTTGCATACCTTATTTCTGTTTTCTTCCCCAGTCTTCTGATAGTGGCCATGTTTACTAAGGGCAGAATACTAGCTCTCCTTTTACTTCCTGGATTTCTGGCACATGTGACTAGACATGCGACTAGGACATGTGATCATGCACATCATCTCTTTTCTTTCTTTCCCAGTCTTCTGGATACTAGCTATCCACTTACTTCCATGAACTCTGGCACATGTGATTAGGACATGGGACCATGCAAATCATCTCAAGGGAGGAGAATGCCTTTCACTGAGATCTCCTGACATTACAGATGAGATTTCCCAGCAATTCTCTGCTGATGACAAGGCAATCCCAGTGTGCATCGGTTGGCAAACTGAAGTCATTTTGCCCTTTCAAAGCAGGAAGTGAATGCTCTGCAAGTGTAAGTATTTCACAATCACGGCATTTTACACTTAACATGTCTGTTATTATTAATCAGCATACATAGAGGGATGCATTGGCAGAATTTGATTTTTGAGTGTAAAGGTACGCTTTATTGCAAAACAGTTTTATGTTTTATATTTAGTATGAATGTTTGAGATTGTGTTGTATTTGTGTGCCCTAATAACATTTAATATAAAATAACACTTTGATAAACAAACTGCTAGGAATTTACAAATTCATTAATACCATCTTTTTTTTATTCTAAAGATCCAGCACTTTCATGCTTTTGGGGGATCTGTCTCAAGTTTGTAACGTGTGTACAAAACAGAGAAATTTGTTTGGCCATTGTAGCTGCAAAATTGAAGGTCACGTCCAGCATCAAAAAAGTAAGGAAAGAAAGTATGAATCACTGCTTATGAGGCATTCATCTTTCTGTGATGGTGTGAAAGATAAGGAGTTGACTTCCTATAGCAGAGTTATAGTGCGGAGAAGCATGTCAGTTCTAAATTAGTTCCTAAATTTTACCTTCAAGCGACTTTGTTCAGGTTATAAGAGCTGATGGTAGCTTTACATAAATCTAGGACACAAGGCAAAGTACAAATCATGGGAAAGGATTACGTGTCCTAATGAACAGTACCCAGATAAAGACAGTTTTTGTAGATCTAAAACTCATCTTCTGTTAAATAGGAGATGCAAGCACACCATACCTGCCTAAATATAGTTTGGCAGTCCAAAACTGCCAAATTGGCTGAGTCCAAATGCTTTATGTGTCTAGACATTTCATATGACAGGCTTTTCAAAGGAAGTGAAAGTTCTTATGCATGAGATAACAGTATTTGGAAAGCAAATGAAAACCTGGATTATAATAGAAAAATAAAACACAGGCAAGTCATACTTTCTAGTTGGGACCCATGCCCTACTCCAAAGTAGCCATTACGCTGATGATGGCCAACAAGCCTGAAAAAGCTGTATACAGCGTGTGATATATGGCTCCATAAATATTAAGCTGCATCTGTGTTGTATACAAGAGTTTTGTTAGGGTCCAAAAAGACATAGGGCAACCTTGGGTACACTAGGTTAAAAAGTCTCATACCACAGTGGTACAGTGGTTAGAGCTTCTGCTTTGCAGAGCTGGAGTGGGCTTGGACATACGGTTTGAATCCCAGCCAGGTCACTATCTAGGAGTGACCTAAATATCAGGTCACTATCAAGGAGTTTGCATGTTCTGTTCTATGCAAGTGTGGGTTTCCTTCCACAGACATGCTGGAAGGTTATTTGGCTCCTGTCTAATTCGGCCCTTGAACATATACATGCAAGATAGGGACCTTAAATTGTAAGCTCCTCAGGGCCAGGGACTGATGTAAAGCGCTGCGTAAATTGTTGGTGCTATACAAATACCTGTAATAAATTTAAAAAATGCCCCTTTATGTTCCAACTACTCCACTCACTATCTTAAAGTGAAACGTAACCCTCAATTGTGATGGTGCATCTCACGAAGGGTGAGACATACAAGTACCTTAATTTTTTATATAAACTCTATATTACCATAACCTGGTTTTGTGGAGGATTTTTTAGTTCCTTTAAGTCCATGTGAATCAGTGAGCTACCAAGGCTATCCAGCAGATGCAAAAACTGTGCTGAACTCATACAGTTCACTCAATTTAACTTGATTTGAGTGCTAGGCAAACTGCTGCAAGAATTCTATCTTTTTGCCTACTGCATAGCTCCAAACTTTAAGGGTCCATTCACACCATCTGCATTAGAGCTGTGCTGTGCTGGCCCTTGTTTCCAATTTGCCTTGTCACGAATGGTGCCCATTTATACCACCACGTTGCGGTAGGAACACGGTGGTGTGTGCTGGAAAAAAAAATAAGACATGCCCTGTTTTTCAACGCAGTGCAATGCGACGCAGTACAACCACCTCACACCCCGCTATAAAATTAAAATTTTTTATGAAGTACTAACAAAAAAAACAAAAACAAAAAAAGAACACAGTGTGATGCACTGTAATCAGCGATTCAGCACTGTGCCAGGGCACCGAACATCAGACGCTGTGCGATTAGCTGAATTTGACTGGTCAGCGTAATAGAGATTTTTAGTTCTAACATACTTTTTTACATCAGTCTTTCTGCATGTGAATATTCTAAAGGGCTTACTAAAAACGAGATGACGCGGGGATCTTTACACACACACACACACACAATAGGTTGGACTTGATGGACATGTGTCTTTATTCAATCTCAAATACTATGTAACTATGCCCATACACCTTACGATTATTGTACGATAATCGTATGAAATCGCGCTTTCGTCCGATAATCGCAAGGTGTATGGGCAGTGTACGGGCAGTGTACGGGCAGTGTACGGGCAGTGTACAGCCGCAAATACTGTACAATCGTACGACTTTTGACTTTCAAGCATGTTTGAAAACTTTGGCCGATCGTACGATTATTGCAAGGTTAGTGGCGTTTCCGTACGTCAAAAATCGTACAATCTACACTGCTAATGCGCAAATGAAAATATGTGCGGTTGATTACCGCAATTCGTCCAGGTGCTTTTCTTTAATTACGGCTAATTGAACCATGCGATAATCGGGGCATAATGGGGCCGCCGTACGACAATCAAACGGTTCAATCATTAGACGAAAAGTGTTGTCCGATAATCGTAAGGTGTATGGCCACCTTTAATGTGAAGTGCTAAATAGATGTTTCACAATCACCAGCAGGTGCATTCCAGGATGACGAGATTACATAGAAAAGAGAGTATGGATGGACTGGTGCACTCACAATACCTGGTTAAGGCCTCATTCACACTAGAAACGGCTGTCAGGTACAGCTCCGTGCTGTGTGCACAGCAGTATCGGGCAGCTTCTGGGAAGGACAGGTGCTGCGTGTGATTAGTATGCAGCCCCTGTCCTTCTCTATGGGAGTACACGGCTGTACGCCGCCCTACGCTCACCTGGCCTGCACATCCGTACGTACGCGTGCAGGTGTCCGTACTCGTACGCTGACAGGATGGATCTGCCGGGCCTTTTCTCGTGTGAATGAGGCCTAAAAATAAAACCAGTCTAGTACTACTATAGCAAACTCAGCAGCTAGACCAAACTGTATTTATCACAAGCTTTCAGTTTCGATTTTGACCTAAAATAGGCATTCTGAGTTTTTCTGGTGCATAAGCCATTTACCGATTTTAAACAGAACGCTAACATCTAGTTTTCTAATAAACAACAAAGTACTAACTAGTTTATACAAACATTCATTCATTTACATTTCACCTATTTGTATACAATAGTAAAGCTCTACATTACTGTATGCATTTCAACGTTTATATAAAATAATGCATGCACTAATCTTTAGCACTGTAGTAAAAGATTGTGCATAGCAAGCAGAAACGTTTGCAAATTATTTGTATTGTTCCGCAGCATAGTGCCGCATTCCAAGCACACATTTGGAGGCACACACTTAAAAAATATTCATAAACACATTGCACTGATGCATAATGATACAGGAAAAGTATATTCTCTTACCAAGAGCGAATTCGAGCTTCGGGTCAGCTAAAGTTCTCTGGATCCCTGTAGATACAGAATCAAGATAAATAGCAATTAAAAATAAAACCTTACTAAAGCAGAATTTAATTAGCAACTCTGGATAATTCTTATCATATAAGCATTACTAAGTCTTGCTCTGACCATTCATGTTACAGGAAAAAGCACATTCTTTTCTGTTAGACAGGAAAGGTGGGTGGTGCATTGTGGTCAATTTTAGAGTACAAACCTGAGCTCAGGCTACAATAAAAGGACATAAACATCATAAAACAGACTATGTGCACATTTAGAACATAATCATACATTTGCTTTACCATCTGGATATAAAGTACTGGCAGATTCTAAGAAAACACTACTGTGCAAACTGAAACAACAAAAAAGGGTAACAGGATCATTTTGATTCTGTCAAATAATAATAATAGTAGTAATAATAATAATGATGATGATAATAGTTTTCATTAAGCAAAATATCTAGTGCCAGAATAATCTGCAGTGCTTTTCAATTCACTTTAGAGCCCATTCACATTAGCCACCCCTAAAACACTGTGTTTTAGCAGACGGGCTAGTGCATTGTGGCAGCTCCAGCAATACGCGTTGCATCACACACTGCCAGAGCTGTCACTGTTTACATTTTTTTTCTTTTTTTTTACTTTATTGGTAGTGTACAGTGTGTACACTGAATTCAGGTCCCTGCACAGCAGCATGGAGCACTGCGCTGCTGTGCAGTGACCTGTAGTGGCATTCATTGCGTTGCCAAAAAATGCGGCATGCTTGCATTTTATCGCCGCACCCATCACACCAGTGTTGTCATGTGAATGGGACACACAGAAAACCTTTATTTCTATGTGTCCTTACGGTGACCTGCATTGATCCGGTGCAGTAAAACGCACCGCAGTATGTGTGAACAGGCCCTTAAAGTAAACATGTGAATCTAAAACAAGCACGCACCCAGTGAAGTTAGAGAAATCCAAACTGTAAGACGCTTTAATGTGCGTTTGCAAAGCGCACAAAAAAATGCAAAATGCACAAGCTGTGCCGTTAACATTAGTGGCACCGCAAACACGGCCAAGAAGAATCACATTTCCTTTGTGTTTGTGTGTGTTAAAACTTGCACAAACGCGAAGGAAAAAATGAGGAACGCATGTTGCATATTTTGCTATATGCACTACATTTCCGCATTTGTCATGAGTTCAGGATCCCACTGAAGTTAGTAGGGATGCGCAGCAATTGCGGAAAAGAAATGCGCACAAATGTGCATCAACACAGGCAAATGTGGCGAGCGTTCGCTCTACGCTCAGGTGTTAATGGGACCTTGAAGGCAAGTTTGCCCTGACAGCTCCCATATTTTATCAATCCTGGTTCCCTTTAAAACATGTCTGGGCAAACCATTTCTTGCAGGTAGTGGGGAAATGTTAGCCCCGCTGTTAGGTTTTACTATCTATGGTACTGTTGGGGTGCATTCACATCAAATTCAGAAGGTACTTGCAAGTCAACAGAGGGTTCATCGACTTGCAATTGTACCTTTCGACTTCCTTTTGATCCGTTGCATTCCATCATGGTTTTTTGGGGGGGTTTTTTAAATGGATAGTAACGCAATGGATGTGAATGAGGCCTTAAAAACTATTTCTTCTCACTTAATGCAACACAGACAAAAATAAAAATGCTTTAGTAAAATATGAAAAGGATAGAACCCCTGAAAGCTTTTATTGCTTTGACCCTGTTGCAGACCCACTTCCTGTTAAAATCGGCGGCACCAGAACAGAGCATCAGAGAACAGTAAAAAGTGGTTCTAATTGCTGCTGGCACCACATATCATAACGAGAACAACAATAATTGAAATGGCTTTTTAACCTGTCCAATCAATCACTCTACCTTCACCCACACCCCCCATGCTGCTGAGACCAGTCAACTGGTGGATATATCCTGTGTGGCAGTGCGTGGCAATGCCACTGTGTTATCTCCATTCCTGTGTCCAGAATTTGAGTGGCCAGCGCATGCTGATGGCACAGGTGTGCACAGCCTTTAAAATAAAGGTGTTGGGAAGGGGTCAAGACTCCACCTGGGAGACAGGAAGGCTCCACCCAGGAGTCAGAGTGGAGTCTAGTGCAGCAGGGTTCTGCGGATTGAGAAAACCCCAGAGTGCAGGTGAGCACACGACTGAGGCTGTCTGGAGGAACAGACTGTGGCCTGAGGCCGGAGCAGCGGTGCTGCAAATGTAAAGCCAGGAAGCTAGATAGGCAGGTGCTGCCATGAGATGCAAAAGAACCCCTGCGAGGGTAATTGTTCTGTTTTGTGAACTTCCATTTAATAGAAGGGGCTAAGGAAGCCCTTGAATGAAGATTACAGCGAGTGGATGCATCCTTTATGCGCTACTATTTGGAGCTAATCCCCACGCCTGCTACAAAAATATGAAATTGTTGCTTATTCTGGCTAAAAAACAGGTGGATTGGATACCTGTTATGGATTTGAATATGCTCCAGGCCCAATCTAGGTGGAACACAATAAATCTACTGGAGTACCTGGGAATAACATGCCATTCATGAGAAAGAAAAAACACAGTATTCAGTAAGCATATATTTAATGCATATTATCTGTCAGTGAATATCTGCGATTGTAAAGTAAATGCAATCCTTTTAAGCCTCATCTTTATTGCAGCTTGCATTATACAGTGCCTGTTTTGAAATCTAGAAAGAAGCTAGACGCAAAGATTCTTTATTTTTATGTGCAGTTTCCCAACCACTATGCAAATCAGCTCTTAATACACAGGATGAAGGCCACTATTAATGGAAAGCCACAGTGTGTTCTCAGTACATTCATACCTTATCTGCCAATGTGAGATAAACTCACTTTCAGCTACATATACTGCAGATGTGAACTGACATTTTTCAGCTAGCCTGTTGACAATCTCATATCCGTGTGTGCGTGTAAACTGTGCTAGTCAGCTGCTATCAGGGGGAACTGGTGATCAAGCAGGCTCTAAGATGATCTGTTCTGATCACTATTGATGCCCCTTGGTAAGCTGGTGTCAGCAGCATTTTCTCTACTGCTCTTTCCCATGTCCAGTCACATACACCTGGAAACTCAGAAGTGGCAGTTTATAAATTTCAGGGATTAAAATGTTTGCCTTTTGGGCAGTAGTATTGTAATTGCATGAGAAGATAATCTTGCATGTTACATGACCAGCCTTAAAACACCTGACCATAACATCAAGTAAAATGTACTGAAATAGCTAAATAATTGAAATAATGGGATGTCCAATAAGCTCATATACAGCAAGTGTGATGGTCAGGTGTGCACACATTTTTGGTTATACAGTGTTATATAGTGTATTTTTAAGTAAAGACATAGAGGGGAATTCATCAAAACTGGAGCAGTCACAATCTGGAGCAGCTGTGCATGGCAACCAATCAGCATCAACCTTTCATTTCCAAAGCATACCTGAACAGACTGAAGAGAAGCTGATTGGTTGGCATAGGCAACTGCTCCAGATTTTGTCTGCTCCAGTTTTGATCAATTCCCCCCACACTGTACTTTACATAGGGGTCTACTCAGTAAGCTGCCGTAGGCAGCCGAGTGAATGACCGACCTAAAGCGAAGTGAGCCGAAAGCTGTTCGGCTATTCACTTCAGGCTGGTACGGCTGATTTCAGCCTTATATCGGCTGAAATCAGCCGTACATCAGGTGGCTTCGGGTCGGCCGAACGTGCAGAAGGAGTTCGACTAAGCCGAACCTCCAGCAGGCTACTCGCTGCTGGTCGGTCTATTCTTACAGATGCCGAACAGCAGTGAGTGAATAGCCGAATGCCGCTGAGCGGCATTCGGCTCGGCTGTTCTGCTCGGTCCCTCTGTGGTACCGAGCAGAACAGAAAAATATACCGTCTCGGCTGGGACCGTATAACATCCGGGTGCTACTCACCTGGATGGGATGACGCGAACGTCGGCCTGGAGAGTGGACGGCGTGTGCAGACGGCGGGCGGCGTTGATTTAAAGTGAGTCTGTAAACCCGCGAAGCGGCGTGTCAATCAGCATGGGGGTGGGGGGCTCCCCCGCCACACAGCACCACATATAATTAAAGGAATCAGGAGAGGGTCTCAGTCGAGAGCCCAGCTGAGGCTCCAAAGTCGAGCCACACGGACCATGTGGCAGTGCATTTAGTACCAGTATCATGTTCAATGCATTGTTTTAGACATGATGACTCATGGGTCATTAGACCACCGGAGCGGAATATAGGAGAGAAGCTGCGGGAACCAGTCTAGCAGCCAGACAGGATGGGGGTCGGGTGAGTATATATTTCTAATTTTAGACCTTTGACCAAAACGAGCACTTAACCCTTGCAGTGCGAGGGTAGTTAATTTGTAATTTGCACTGAGTAGTTCTTTAATGCATCATTGCCTAGCGAATCACTGCCCTGAAAAAGTAATGCATTCCATTATAGCCAGATTTCACACACCTTACATGTACAGTGAGTGCTTCCTGATTTCTGAACGGTGTAACTCCCTTTCTCTTTGCTTAATATATTGCCAATCAAGCTCAAATTTACAAGACCGGTTTGAATGCGATTGTTGGCTGTGAAATATTTCTGATCACTCAGACTTTGTTATGTTGAGGCTGTCTGTGAGACACAGCAAGGATCTTCCAGTGAGTGTCCCAGATAGCAAGTAATTGAGCTGCAAGTTTGAAAATGACTTGCTAAACTATTGCAGACTTGCCAAGCTTCACAATTTTGTTGCACAATTACACCAAGTCTGCATTGCAAGTCTCCAGACCAGCGAGCTTGCAGAGCTCTTACTAAGACCTGCAGGACTCTTGCTGTAGACTTGCCAAGCAAATTTGCTACAAATTCAAAAAGTGTCAACTAGAACTTCTGCTGCATGTGCTCTGCAAGTCTACAACTTGCCAGGAATATGTGCAGCAAGTTAACAAAAATTAAAATTTCACCCTGCCACAAGTTTGTAGCAAGTTATCCTTGCTACCTGGGCAGCTGCGTGAAATGACAGTGGGCTCTGCCAGCTGTGCCCTCCCCCGTCC